TTCTTTCCTTTTGTATTTTGTGTTACCATTACCGTAATGGGCCGTGATCTGGTGATGAGTTGTATACATGTATAATGGGGACATATCTTCAGTACCGAAATACCTCCCTCTAGTGGTATAAGTGGGACATTGCTTCTTCTATTATTGTAAATATCAAACGTGGCACTGTGAAATCGAAGGCACACAGTTGTAACAGACATCATTTGACTGGCGATATTTTGAGGCAATAATTCTATACTTTTATTATAAAAAACAGAAAACGGCTTTGTTCATCAAGTCATGTGAGGATTCGACACAAGTTTGGGATTGGGACATTGCTTATCTGGGCTAGATGTCATTCGTATTTCCATGAATGGAGCTAAACACAACCACAGGTCTGTTTTGGATAAGGTAACAAGGCAAGGCAAGTTTATTTGAATAGCACATTTCATACACAATGCAACTCAAAGTGCTGAACAAGACAAGATAGCATTAAAATCATAAATAATCACAGTACATTAAAAAGAAAGATAAATAATGTAAAATCCCTCAGTTGTATGCACAGCTAAACAAAACTGTTTTTAACCTGGATTCAAACATTGTCAGAGAAGAGGCCTGTTTCACATTTTCAGGAAGATTGTTACAGATTTTAGGAAGATTGTTCCAGATTTTAGGTAGCACTGTTATAAAATGGTTAAAGAACATTTTTCTTAACGGTATTCAGTCAACAGCAACAAAAATAATGAAAATGTTTCCTGCAAAAATAGTAAAACAAGCTTTTCGACATGCTACACGCCACAACACTTTTGAAAGCATATCTTTTACACTCACTCACTCACTTTGCCTTCATGCCACTGTTTACATTGATCCTAATGCATTAAACAGATGATTTCTGACGCCTGCTCTTATCTCCTGAGGTGTCTCAAACAATCCTCTCATATCCTCACTGTAAACCTATCAGGCTTTTATTCAGCATTAATACCAGGCTGGCCAAACACAGCGCTCCAACTCCTCTAATTACAATGCAGCTAATGTTTTATTTCTTCCCCGTGTGGGATTACTTTCATCTATCCCATTAAGATGCACATTTTGTTTGGATACTCAAATTACCCAGGCCCATATTAAATCTGACTGTGCGAAAGGCATTGATCACAGCCTCCGATAGCTGCTCTCCCCAACTTTGATTTAATTTGCACTTCCATTAATATCTATGAGACGTCCGATTGTCGTCTTGGGCATATTGATGGTATTGTAAAGCTCTGCCCTCATATAATTTTCCCCAGCGGCAATAGGGTAAAATGTTACAGAGAATTAGACTTTAAAATGGACTGGGCGAGAACTGGCACTTTACAGCAATGCTCAATAGGTTAATAAATACAAAAAAAATCTTATGAAATTTTTTCTTTGCCACATGGTGAGTGGCTGATGAAGGAGGCTGTAGATTGTTGATAGAAGAACATACTGTCTGTCCATCACAATACCTATATGGCTTTATTTGGCTATTATCTGGCCAAATCTCATTAAAAATCCTCCCCCAATAGATCACATTTACAAAAGGGAAAGGGGAAAAAGCCCAATACAACTCAGATGCAGGCTGAATAGTGTCAGGCGGAGCTGATTTTGAATGCTGATTAATGAAGTGCCAGTATGGGGGGTGCATTACATCCTGTAATGCACCCCCTCCTTTTGTTGAAGGCCTGACATGTCTGTTTTCTGTGGGGAAAACAGTAGCTGAGCCCGGAGACAAGACTTAGGCTGTAATTAATGCAATCATGAGGATGAAAATAGATGTTGTTGTGACTAGGAGCGACAATGAACTGTATATCACAGAACTGTCTATGTGTGAGTGACGAGAAACGGACGGGAAATGCAATGTTATAGTTTACAGAATCTGTTGACTTGAATAATCATTATTAAGGATAAATCGCACTAGTTTAAACAGATTGTCCAGAATGCTTTACATTACTGCATTCACTTTATAATAAAGTTAGTCTTGTCATGCATTTTTATAATTTAGGACTAGTGGAGTGCCATTTAAGTGCAATAGTGTCCGTATTGTTTATTTACCCAAATCATATAAGCGGAAATTATTCACATTAAGCCAACTCTTCACTGGTATAAAATACGTAACAAAGGAGTAATCTTCTCTTGCCACCTTCTCCATGGGTGATGACAGGGATTACTGTCCGATGTCATCACTCGCAGCTGTTTACACATAAACATCATTCTTTAATTTCATAATTTAACCAATTGCTGTGGAAAAGCAATAGACTAAAGTCTGTCCAATACTGACTTGCGTCATCCCAGAAAATATGTTACTTGTTTAATCGGTCTAAAATCCTCCTTGACAAGCCATTGGGGCTTGTCAATGGCCCATGGCTTCTCAATTGAGAAGTCTACTTGAGCAACAACAGTAGAATGTTCCTAAAATTGAACTATTATCATAGTCAAAAAAAGAAGCTAAAGCAGAGGTTCAGACTGGAAGACTGGAAACTATGTGTGCACAAACTCATTGTTGCTGCGCCACAACAGTAATCAGTCAATCACACTCAATTGGCTGCTCTGTGCAGCCAATCATATCTCAGAAGGGCACACTGAAGCACTGCCCTGTAGAGCCCTGCACTTGAGCCCTAGGCCCGAGGGGCCTGACAGCCCGAGGACCGGACTTCGGGCCGATGACCATATAATTACCTCGGACACGGGCCGGGCTCGGGCACTTTTATTTATGAATTTTCAGAGCGGCAGTTTACATTTACGAACGTACCCAATGAATATAGCGTTTTATCAAGCTGTAGTGTTTGTTGTTCTGTATAGTATTGTCATTGACGACACGTAGCGTTACCTTCAAGTGTGTTGTAGTTTTTTGTGGCATCTCTGGGCATCATACAGTTGCGGCCGTTCACTCCGTACACACAGAACTCATTGCAACACATCACTACCATGTATAACACCGCCCTCTAGCCGGGCCTGTGTTCATATCAGTGCGCGGCACTAAATACTACGCTAAAACCTTGTTATGGGAGAAAAAAAAGAAAAAAGAAAGATGTCGGGCTTGATACGGGTTTCGGGCCTGAGAATTCGGAAACCATGTCGGGCCGGGCCGGGCTGGGGCGCCACCCTCTCGGGCCAGGGCCGGGCTTGGGCCCAGATAATAGGCCTGTGCAGGGCTCTACTGCCCTGCATTTGAAATTTTGCAGAAACCCTCCTCCTCCCCATTGGCACCTTATTGGCCAGACCAGCTCTTCAACCGTGTACAGCATGCAATTAATATCATTCTTGTCTTATATGATAATTCATGCATTAACAGATTACTATGACAACCAATAAATACAATTCTATTAACACATTGTGTCTGTTAAGTCTCTACAGATTGTAGAGGATTCACATCCTTGGGCCATTTGCAAGCCATATAGAAAATCTTTGTGAGATATGTCCTCCACAGACACACAGAGACATGCAGGGGTTGTTGTGTTTGAGTCTTCTTTTGAGACGATCAGGAGCTGTTTTTGATGCAGACGACTGCAGACTGTTTATTTTGGTCTGAGGTCTTTGTTAATACTAACATGTTGGAGCACACCTCTGTCTGTGCAGCAGATGTGTGCATGACACAAACTCAATAAGAATCGCTGTGGATTGAGTTCGACATGAGCTGCCTGCTGACAGCTGCTTTGTTCTATGGTCAGATTTCATATTTAACACATCAAAGAGTCAGGATACTTCACACTCCTCTCTCACTGATACTAAGGCTGGCACATACACAGTCTTGTGACAATGCATTCACTTTCTGGTAAAATCAAACAGACAAGAACATAAGCACATCTGGATGGTTTAATAACAAACCTAAATGACTGGAACGATACTATTGATACTATTAAAATGGGTTAAATTTTGAAGTTTATAATGTTAACATAAAACTGCTAAAGTTGTGCATGTCTAGTTCTACAGGACATAGCAGGACAATGCTAACCTGTTCCAATTATAATAATGCATCAGTTTTATATAATTTTATATAGCGCTTTATAGAATATGAGACACTGTCATGGTGTAGATTATATTTTTGTACTTATGGCTTCAGTTCTGTGGTTTTAGTTTGACTTCCTGTTACTTGACTGCCCCACCCTAATGTCTTTCACCTGTGTCCATTTGTACCCTGTGCTCCTCTCCTCTTGTTGCTGGTTCTTTGTATTGTCCTTGTTTTTGTCTGTTTTCCTGGTTCCTGTGTTTTTAGGGTTTTCCTTGGACATTTATTTTATCACCATCATTAAAATCTTTATTTTTGCATTCTTGCATTTTGAGTCCTCCTCCTGACAGACTTTTCACACAACGTTTTTCACTTACTCCATACAATTTGCAAATCCAGATTTATTTACTAGTAGAAAGTGTGTGGAAGAAAACTGTGATGTAATTGGTGGCTAGATGAGCATGTTTTCAATTAATGAATCAAAAGAATCAATCACACATTTCTATACCCTCAGGCTGTTTATGTTGGTCAGTGATTGCGTTGCTCTGGGCCCATGTCCATTTCATAAGCAGAAATTGAGTTAATGCAGGGTTCTTGTTTGTTCTTTCAGGACTTGCACTTGAGTAACTATTTAGTAATGTAGCTTTTCTTGGTGCCCATCACTGCAACTCAAGAATTTCAAAACAGAGATAAAAACTGTGAATTCTAAACAAAAATCTGTTTGTCACACTGAACTGTAGGTGTGGAGCGATGTGAAGCTGCATCAGACCTCATTAAGTTTAGTGAAAGCCGTGCGCCCTAAAGGAATCCGACTCTCCACACCCCCATGATATAAGGTAAGTGAGGCAGGCCTAATCACTGTGAGTTAAACCAGTCTGCAGAGAAAGTGAGAGAGGCATCCCTTCTCAGTGAGGCCTATCCTGCAGTATTCTGATGTCTCTAACAAGAACACAATAAATTGCTCCTCATTATTCAGTAATTAACTCCAATGTGCTGGGTCCCCATCCCCCGGTGCCACGCTCTAAATCACCATCTCATCTGCGGGGCTCTTTAATTTCCTTTACCGTGGGGGGGCATGGAGGAGGTGGGGCCAGGACAGGCTGGAGGTGCAGAAGAGGGCCACTCCATCATCCCCCTGGACCCCGACAGAAGGACCCCTAACCCTGCAGTGCCACACCCTCCGCTTGCCCCATCCTTTCTGCACCTGCTGAAGGTTAGAAGTCGCCCAGGCCTGGAGCACCAAGGGCATTATGGTCAACAAACTGTTTAATGCTTAAGATGGAGGAAAAAGAGGCAGGGGCTTTCTTGTTTGTCCCCGGAAATTTAGCGTAAAATTAGGGTTAGGGTTGATTACTGATACTTTGATCAAAGACATTCTGCCCCAAGTAGTAACAGTAGTAGATGACAAAAGCAACACCCTCCACCGCCATTCTCATCTAATCTTTTCTAGCAAATCCCTAAAAAGGTAATTTTCAATGTAATTAGATGTAATTTATGTATTAGATGTATCTTAAAAACATGCAAATAGAAGCACAATCAACCTTTAACAAATTAAATATAAACTTATTAATAATATATCTTTTGTTGAAATGCAGTAGAGCACAAAATAAGACACAAATAGCATGTATGTTTTACTGAATAATATCAAACGGCATGGAAATATAATGGAAAGTGCACAGCTGGGTACAGTCCGTATCATATCAACAAACTCTAAAACATACACAGCCCTGGTCACGATATGAACTGCTGTAAACAGACCAAAAGAACACACACTTGTCTTTATGTATTTAGTCGAACTTTCCTGATAGAAAACTTACTTCAAATGACATTTTCTTTGTGTTTCCACCACAGCATTTACACTCTCCCCCCTCCCCTGCTCTTAATTGTTCAAACGGCCTCTTTAATTGTCGACGGAGTGAAATCACCTGTCATTTCTTCTGGGACTCTTGCGTTGATTGAAAGGTATCATAAAACGCCGCCCAGGGCCTGGTTTAGTCTTGGTGCCCTGTGGGAGATCCCTGTGTGCCTGTAATCTCCGCCCATGGGCACCGCTCCACTCTCTTTCTTTTATGCATATTCTGACTGGTGACACACATCCACACACTTGGCCCAAATATAGATCCAGGAGAGTCCGCTGGAATTCCTGGAGGATGTTGTGGGGAGTGTTTTTCGCCCTAACATTAGTGCCCCTGACCTAATTGAGAAGGATGCGCACTGTGTTCCTCCATGCGCCAGCCGGGTCAGGTTCATCTGAGGGGCTAATTGTGAAGCTGCCACTTTAAAGTGGGACAAATGAAGAAATGACACAAAATGAGGACATATGACAAAATACTTGATAGATGTTTAATAGCTTTTAAAATATCTTCATGTGGATGTAACAGTTTAATTCTGTCATAATAAGAGAAAGCTTTGAAACGTACAACATTGTCAGCGAGGTTGATGAGGGGTACAATTTCATCTATGATAATTTTGTCATAATTTGTGACCCACTTTATTCCATATTTAGTTATTAGTTTCAAATTATTTTTTCGCAAACCTTTTGTTCCCTGTGTAACTTTTCAAAGAGATTGAGAGAAAGATCCATTAGTCGATCTTGATTCGTTTTTTCCTTGTGTAATCAAACCAAAGAAGAAGGTTGAGGTTTTGCCTTTTTCTATACAGCAATAACAAGTTTAATCGAATTGCTGAATATATTCTTTGGGACACAAGAACTCTTATTGATATAGAGATTTAGATGTGTTATGTACGACGTTTAGTACGCTATTTCACTGGTTTAGATGTAAGTTATTTTCTTGTGCAATATGTGTAATACCACCAAATATGATAGAAGTGTATTTGGTAAACAAAAGGCACACAACCTTTTTGGGGAACCACACACACCTGATCTATTGCACACATCAGACGGTCATTTTCACAAAGACATCAACATAAAAGATAAGATAGGATAAACTTTATTGAATTCACAATGGAGACATTTACAGGTGGGAATCAAGTGGGAACAAACACACTCATATAACATACTGCGCACATTTTTACATGAAATAATTCTATACAATATCATTATAATTCAAAATGGTAATCGAAGCCAGCAGAGGGAGTGTTGAGCCAAGTCAGTGCTCTGTGATCTCTTCTAACATCACAAGTTTTATGAGCAGTATCAGAATAATGCGTGTTTATTCAATGTCATAGATGTATTTGACGCTTGGAGACAGTTAGCAAAGCAAATCCCCTGCTTAAAAACGCTCCATTTACTTGGAAAAATTACATGGAATATGTTGGCCGCGTATTAACACAGAAAGGCCATTAGACAAACAGGCCTGGCTTGTTGTGAAGACCCAGTTCAACATTGCGCTTGAAGAGCCCATTTCCACAGGGGCCTAATACAGAGGGGCACTACAGAAGATGCTGACAAACTTGCTGTTTGAAATAAAACCCCTCTAAACACATGGCATTAATATTTAATGTTGTAGCAGCTTTCTCGGGAGGTCGCTCCAGGCTGCAGCGTTCTCTGAGGGGAAAGTGTATTAACGCTGTGAGCTGTGGACCGAGCGCATCCTCCTCACGCTAATGAAGAGAGCAGGGGCTAAACTCAGGGGAGTGCGCACGTCCGATTAGCCAGCGCACATGCATGTAAACACAGCCGAGCGGCAAATGATTACAGCACTTTGGTAATGCAAGCCACGTGTCAGCAAACAACATGGAGCAGCAGGCCACCTTTTGAACCGCTCTGTCAATTTGTCTGTGTTCAAGGTGATGAAGAAGATGGTAAATATAGAAATCCAGCCTCTATCAGATGCCATTATCTGCCGTATCTGTTGTGTCAATGTTCGCTTTGCTTTGCTTTGCTTTCTGAAAATGACTGGTAACCCCTAGTACTTTATATCATTGACATTTATCAACACTTGGACATAGGTCATCTGCCCCTTATGGACCAATGGCTCTATGTGTTTTATCATTGAATTTCATGGGTTTGAACGATTTGATTTTCTGATCTGTGTTGGCGAATTCAACGATTTTGGTAAGATAACTGTGATTCAGGGCCATAGAAGAATGCATCGAATTTAATTGAATATCAGTATGATGACTTAGAATGTATGTTGCCTTCAGAATAACATTCTAAATTACCTCGTGGGCAGAATTTGTATTTCATGAAATAAGTCCACTTCAAGTCACCTCAGAAAACCAGTTATTCAAAACCAACATGAATGTAGATTGGAATTTCCATGATGCAGAAAAAAACCATCTCTGCTTTGAACAACAAACATCTCTCATAAGCACATCAGTTACTTTTCAAACTGTGAAGAGAGAAAAAAGCTTTTTGAAGACAAGCACTGTCTTGTGCATTGTGTACTGAATACAAATCATCACTGACCACGTTAAGTGTAGCTCTAAGTCTGAAGAACAGCAATAGAATTGGAAATGAATCCAACGTCATCAATTGGAAACATTCACATTTTTTCTTTAATTTCCCATTTGCCTTTTTCTTGTCACTGGAGATACTGTGTGTTGGTCATGCACTCTCTTATATAATGCTCATTCTTGTTGTTTTGCTTTCCCTCTTTCCTATATTAGAAACTTTGTACATGCTAATGGTTAAATGCTGTCCCCTGAATGGCCATTAAAGTGCACCTGTCCTTGTCCGCATCCGCCCGGTCAGTGTGGGTCCCCATTTCAACAGGACCAGTTAAGGGATAACCATTTGGATATTATTGTGGTATTACAGCTCCTAAAGCCAGTGGAACTCCCAAAGCCATCAGGTAATTTGAAAGACATCCAACTAATTTTAAGATGTGCAGATGTTTTCACTTCCAAACCAGCATCTGTTTATGTTGGGAAAACCGCAGAGGACCTCCGATTGGTTTTATGGGGCAGTTTGAGCAGAGCACTCAGTGTTGTAATTGGGTTGTAGCAGGTAATGAGAAAATTGCTCATGAGCAGTGTTCTCTAGGTACAAGCCACAGCAAACACTTTAACACACAGAATCTACTTTTATGTTGAAGTCGGTCATATCAAATCTGAAACCCAAAGCAGAAGGTTAAATCATGTCCAGTACCTCTATACTTAATATGGAATATTGATAAAACTCACTTGTCATTGTGTTTCACATAACCAAATAGTCAGTGCAATCAGGTCTACAGTAATAAGATTCTGATAAACATCAAGCATCAATACATTCTAATAATATATGGGTATCATATTAAAATGTATTGTTTGGTAATGTTTTTCTGGAGGCTTAGCTCTTGGGTCAATGATATTGACCATCATGTTAAACATGCCTGTAACCACAGTTGTAAGTGCATATAATGGGTCAGTCGGGCTTTCAAAAGTTCAAAATTGCCAATAATGTATAAATGAATGAATGACATCAAATTCATTGACTTGAAGTTCACACAAAGTGAATCAAGAAAATCTAACGAGACTGAGACAGATGTATGCACATGGGTGATTTGGAAGTAAGATCTCGTTAGTATTTAATAAAAGAAAGAATAACATGGCACCCAAAAACTGAAAACTCTTGTTGATACAAAAGATCTGAAGTCTATTATGTTGATTGAAATGGACAATAAACAAATATTTAGTAATTGAGCGTCATCCAGGCTGTCAGTGTACCAGGCCTCTGCTCTGTCCTGACCCCTGGGGAAAACCTACTACATTAAACAACAATAGCCACCAGTTTACTATTGTCTCATTCACAACACAGCCGCACTCTCAGTCCATTCCCCATTATGTGACAAGGACATGTTGGAGACTGGAGTGATCCAAACAGTCATGTGGCACTTGAGAGGACAGTCTTTGAGGAGAGGGGTCGAGGGGAGTGACAAGGACGAGTGCCCTACAAGCGCTCCATCCACAGCTCCTGAGTCTCCAGTGCTCTCCAGCTGAAATGGGCACGCTCTAAAGGGAACAGGCTTCAAGACTTGTTTCCCACACTTCACACAGACTCTCATGAGCAGCTGGAGTGTCTGCTGTGTGAATCCACTGAAAGGGGCAGCAGCACATTGTCTGTCATGACACGGCTCCATGAGTCTCCATAATGCACAGCTCCAACTGCAAACGTGAGATCTTCCCCCATTACCCACCAATATTTGATTTTTACAAATCTCAATTATCAAAAGCTGTAGAGCTCCACATGTTTAAGTTAAGAAAAACAAAACAGAGAAACGGTAAAATTATAGTAAAGGGTAAAATCTGACATTTTAATGTAAATGTAACTGAACAACACGTAACAAAGTTGCAGGTCAGAGTTCATGCCTCGTGACAAGAAGGTCAGGTACAGTCCTTTCTGAGTTGAATCTACATCTTTTACCCATCTCTATGTAGGTTTCTTGGTTAAAATAAATCATATTCAAAAAGGTAACTGGGTGGAAATAACACTATAGAACATCTTCTGACTTTGTAGAAAGTAATATAATTCCAAAGAATGACCAATCTCAATAGTGGAAAAGAAATGATGGACACCCCTGCTCACTTCTGCGGACTCTTTCCACTTTCTGATCATGACCATCACCCAGGACCTCAAGTGGGAGCCGACCATCAGCTCCCTCATCAAGCAGGCCCAGCTGAGGATGTACTTCCCCCAGCTGCCTGCACAGATGTTGGTGCAGTTCTACACGGCCATCATCAAGTCCATCCTCACCTCCTCCATCACCGTGTGGTTCGCTGGAGCCACAGTCAGGGACAAGAGACTACAGTGCATTGTGTGCTCTGCAGCGATGGACGGCTGCTGCAGGTCCTGTACGTTACCCGAGCTCGAGGCCGGGCTGGTTGTATGACAGCCGGCCCTCTCTCATCCTGCACATGGACGATTCCAACCACAGTTTCTTTCCCTCTGCAGTTGGACTGATGAACACTTCATAACTCAACAGATGTAGCAGTTAAGTTTTATTTACATTTTTTTCAAATGTGATTTTTTAGTTAATTTTTTCTTGTTGATCTTTTCAGTGGTAACACATTTCAGACACCTCCATTGCCAATTCCAGGCAGTCACTTGCATCCTTACAGGAGGCCAGCAGACCACAGTCCCAGTCTGCGTATGAGTCCTCCTCGCTCCCCACTGGGGACTCTGCTGCTGGGGACACCTGTTGGTACATCGGACAGCACTGGTTTGCGATTTTCTTGCAAGATGTGGGCAGCTTCAGAAACATGTCATAGAACTGGCAGAAGAGGCAGCTAAGGACAATCCCAGCGCAGTCGACTGAGGAAGAGAGAGCATTTTGAATGTCTGAAAAAGCAACCTTGTGCACTTTTGCAATAAGCTTCTTAAATGGCTCGGGGTGAATAATAGTACATATTAAAAGCATATCTTAAGGCATAAATCTTGTGTGTGTAAGTATAGCAGGTGGTGTTCTTCACATTATATATGAGAACATTTAAAAGCCTCCTCTCTTCCTTCATACATAATTTAGAAAAAGCCTGGTGCCCTCACAGCAACACGCGCCGGAACAAACGAGACATAATCAATTATAAGTTGTCTCCTAGATTTTGTGGTATGTGGCGATTACGCATGAAGAATAGAATTTATTGCCAAATGCGACTCCCATAAGTGCTGCGGAGGTCAGGATTACCCAATGACACTATCTCATTCTTAAATATAAATACAAATACAAAAGCAGCTTTATAAGGCAGTCGATATGAAAAATAATAGAGATTGGTCAAAACAAAATGAACACCAAAAATGATTCTATCTTCTTCAATCTAAACGGCGTGGACAACTTGTAAATTAATATTCGTTTTCATTTCAACTCATGACAATTTAGCATGATTAAATTAAAAGAAACTATTGAATAATAGAAGAGAGCCTCCGCAGTAGTGTAATTACCATAGTTTATGTAGTTTGGCAACCGACTTTTTTGCTGTTTTTTTGCTGTGTATCAGAGTATGAATTATTAAGTCATTTTCATAATTGATTATATGGTTGGTATTCAAGCGTTCTCACAGCATGATGAGGCATATAGCTCCCAATTTGTCAAATGTTCTACTCTGTCTTCACTTGGTGTTATTAATGTTCCGCATATAAATCATAGTTGGTGCCATCAGAGCGCAAAAAAAAAAAATATTGTGTAGGTAATGGTATAATTATGAGCAATATCAGCCTGGACTTACGGATAGTTTTGACTCACTTCCTGTATTGCTGGACTGAGAAGTGCCCGAGGAGTTGCTGCAATTCAAAGATGGCGGTCTGTTTGGATACTTCCTCGTAGAAAACAGCGGAGAAGTGGATGCGTCGAATTGTTGTGGCTGCTCACTCTCTCTGTCACTATCCTCCGTCCCTGACTGAGCATCAAGTTTCCAGTGAGGGATGTCACACTGGCTTTGGGACTTCCCTGCTAAAAAAAAAACATGAAACAACATATACATAAGTGCTTGGTTTTATTCATTGGGGCAAGATGTGAGTATTCTGCAGACATTAGGACATTTTCAAAGGCGAATGAGGTAATGCACTCAGAGAAATCCTGCATGCACAAATAGATGTGCAAGCCCCAGTTTTCCCTGTCATTGAAAAAAACTAAATCATGCATAATTTTCCTCTTACTTTTCGGTTATCTATACATTTTTTGTGGTCTTTCAAAGATAAAATTGGCATGTTTGTGGTTGGAAAGCATGAAAAAATGTGCAAATAAAGTTGTATGTACATTTGTAAGCCACTGTATATGTCTGGATCATATGAGGCTGGAAAGGTTTTGATTTCCTCCAGACTGTAAAGAACTGTCGATACAGGACAGTGAACCGGGATGAGGGGGCCTCGTTACTATCTCGTACCAAAACCAGTCCAGGGGAAAACCGGCATGAAAAACATGACCAAACCATATCCAATATCCAATTAAAGACTGCAAAGATTGCTTATACCAGAATAAACTAAGAAAGAAGAACAACTTTAAATCTATGCTGAGCTGAGCTTGTTGCATGTTTCATGTCAGACATGAACTAAAAACAGATCAAATGGATAAAAACATCACCAAATCATTGAATCATTGGCTTTATTCCATGTTATTCTTGTTGCATGTACTATTTTATATACCCATTGTTTTCAAGAAAGTCTTCTGTTTCATATCAGTTGTAACTATTTCATGGACAGAATGATAAGAAGCCATGAATAACAAGTATTCTAAAGTAAATTAGTAATAAACAAACAACGTCCCTGAGAAGCATGTTCACAACAGCCTGCACGGGAACAGTTTGTTAACAACTGATTTAAATAGATCCTAATGCAACATTATGCTTCCTTCTGTTTACTATCTCGCCACCTATTTATTATGCATTATTCACTATCCTCATTCTCCTTTATTTAACAATTAATGACTGATTATTTATTCACACACTTTTGAAAGCTAAATAAACTCATTGTATTACACACACATAGTTGTTCGCGACACACACACTGACATTGCTTAAGGCTGTGTTGGCCATATTTAAAAATTGATTGGTTGTTTTTCCACAATAGTCTCTTGAGCGTTCACCTTAAAGTTAACCTGTGATTGGACAAATGCAAAACACGGCGGTGAAATCATCAACAAGTGAGCCAGTCCAGTAGCAAGTGTCTGTGATGCTGGGATATCTGATGAATTAACCAGTGACTGCAGATGCTCCGTGCCCATGACCATTAGCTGATAGAGAACTGAGGCCTGCAGGCATCACATGCATTTTTAAGCTTTGGTTGCTGTGTTTTTGCCAAGCCACACCATCTCATCTGACACAGAAGTCACTCTAGATTAGAGAGTGATTTCATTAGTGATTACTAAAATCTGTTGGATTAAGACACAACATTCAAATCTTTAAGCTTGTATATAAAGCGTCACAGTCTAACGCCTTCATATGTAGCTGTTATTGTGCCTTATTCCTGTGTGCAGAATCAGATCCTCAGACCTGAACCTTCCCACCGAACTTCGCGTAAAACTGGAATTGTAGAAGAAGCAGCTTTCTCCCATTATGCTTCTTGTAAATGGGATGTGCAGCCTAATGACAAATGATAAAATATGCTCCAACTCTGAGATCCAAGGAGTTCGTGACAAACATGAGGGAGTTCAAAATGGGGAACTCACTTTTTTAAAATCTGCATTCAAGATTTGCTGTACATTTTCTAATGTCATAGTAACTCTTATACCAGTTCTTTCATTTTATCACATGCTTTGTCATTTAAAATTATTGCCAGGATGTGCAAGTGCAAGGCATGACTGTATTTGTAAAGCACAGTTCATATACAAGATAACAACTCTAAGTACTTGGGGTTAGGGTTAGAAAAAAGGACATAACCGTAAGGCATTAAAATAATAAGTAATCCCGGTGTATTAAAAAGAGTTAAGTTAAAATCCTTCAGTTGTATGCACAGAAAACAAAATAGTGTTTCACTTGGATTTGAACATTGTCAGAGAAGAAACCTGTTATAGTTGCATACTACATCTGAAATGTCACATGTTTAGTCCTGACTGGGAACCGGCAGGAGGCCAGTCCCTGCGCTCCTCAGCGTCCTAGCAGGAGGCCATTCCCTGTGCTCCTCAGAGTCCCAGCAGGAGGCCAGTCCCTGTGCTCCTCAGCGTCCTAGCAGGAGGCCATTCCCTGTGCTCCTCAGAGTCCCAGCAGGAGGCCAGTCCCTGTGCTCCTCAGAGTCTCAGCAGGAGGCCATTCCCTGTGCTCCTCAGAGTCCCAGCAGGAGGCCAGTCCCATGTGCTCCTCAGAGTCCCAGCAGGAGGCCATTCCCTGTGCTCCTCAGCGTCCCAGCAGGAGGCCAGTCCCTGTGCTCCTCAGCGTCCCTTCTTGTAAGCATTCTCCATAATATGTTATAAATATATCAGCTTTACTTTTAGATATTGTATAAATTATTTAACAATTGTTGATCATAATCTGTAGGGTGGCACGGTGGCTGAGTGGATAGCACTCTCGCCTCTCAGCAAGAAGGTCCTGGGTTCGACCGGCCGGACCAGGGCCTTTCTGAGTGGAGTTTGCATGTTCTCCCCGTGTCTGTGTAGGTTTCCTCTGGGTACTCTGGTTTCCCCTACCACTAAAAACATGCACAATAGGCCTGGCATGCGCCTCCTGTACTGGCGACCCCGCTCCCATCTCTGTGTGTGGAGTGAGAGACAAATGCCCAAAAATAATAACAATTGTAAACCGCTTTGTGACTCTGGTCTGTGAAAGGCAGTATATAAATAAGTACATTTTAGTACAGTAGTATATTTTTGGTCTTAAATTTCTCCTGTCTTCAAAAAGTCTACAAATTCTGCATTGATGAATCTATAAACAACTTCTATTTTCAAGCCAAATCTTACCTCCTGCTGGTTGCGTTGCTCTTTCCTCCGGGGTTGTCCTTCTCCCTATGTTTTTCGAATCCACTTCTGTAATCATTTCATCTCCCATCTGCTCCATTGCATCATCGATTCAAATGCACCTATTTTGACTAGCGTGATTACCTCAGGTCAAAAACATGAGGCCGGTGGGAGCTAGAGTTGAACACGAAGTTACCACTGCTTCAATGCCTCAATGTTTCAGTCCTCAGCCTCAGTCCTTCAGCTGCAAGCATTGTCTCTTCCTTCTGTCTGTGAGTGGAGCAGGATGCATTTTGTTTACTTGGATGAAAGAGGCAAAGTGGGCAGGATAAATCTCACTTTACATTAAAATATCCATTTGGCCTCCTGCCTGCAGTGCTGTGAGCCTCTCCAATGTTCCAATGACGCTGCGAAAACACTTTTGCAGGCACCTCTGGTCAGCATATTTCATCCGGGGCGACGATGAAGTGAGAGATGGTGTTGTGGGGAAGTAATGTACATGTTTGTTGTTACTTTTACTATTATGGCACCTCTTAATTCTGTTCTACCCACAATAATTATGAGTAAATATAGCTGTGTTTAATGTGCAGAGCTGGTTCAAATGCAAGAAAAGCCTGAGGGATTTTGGCAGAGTGGAATTTACATGTCTTTATTTTTGTGTGCATCATTCCACTTACTTTATTATGTATCAGAGAACTGGAACATAATGATTTTAATTTACATTGATCAGCACATATCTTAAGTTATGAACTAAAGTGTGATTGTGATCTGGGATACCTCTTTACCAACACATACAGATGAGCAGTTGTGTGCGCAGACTTTGCCTCTCCCTTCCTGGGTGTGAGTGTTAAACATATGTGCGGTGGAGCTGTGTACCAGTTTGT